GGCTGATTCGCCTATAATTGTTTGCAGAAACCTTTCTGCCACCTTTCTGATCCAAGCAGATTTCCAGTCGTAAAACAGAGCCAGCTTCAAACGAGGTATTGTAAGGCATAGAAATCGGTTTAGCTAGCTCCTAAGCAGTAATTCGGGCAGAATATAATCGGGACCATGCGATTTCGACACATTCAGCCAACAACTCTCGACGAACGGTCGCTTCAGCGAAAGATACACCACCAATATTTGGAAAATATCTAAGTCATAGTTGGGAGGGATGAATTCACTTTCGACCTTAAAGACTGACTCGAAAAATCGTGGGAGATTCTCAGTTTTTGCTCCATCCCCCTAATTTCTATTTTGTCCCTTGTCTTCAGTTCTGTTACCTTCCCAATTTGTGTTAATTTATTCCTCAAATTAACTGGACTATAATTTCTGCAACATTCCACTCACTTTTAAATTAACAGATTCTTTGTGCTTCCTTAGCCTTTTGGTTTTGACCCACGTTTCCTGTTTTATTGCCTTTTACTCGAAGTTTAAGTACGAGCATTACATCAAACCATTTTTGGATCCTGAAAATTTCATGCTTGTTATCTTTTCACATAATAATTTCACTTACTGATTTCTGCTGTTCTTTTTTTTAACTTATTGAATTTCTTTTAGCGAAGTGTTAAACTGTTCAAGGGAGGCTAATTATCAAGCCCTATAGCCGAACTTGGAAATTTTGCCTGATACTCTTCGATCTGTGATAGTTAATTTTTAATTCTGGTGTGCGCTTCCAAGAGGTCGGGTTTGCACGTGCGTGTTTTTACTTATGTGACTTTTCTCCTCAAAACTGCTTTTGGGAATAAAAAAATAGTTGAATAGTTATATCAACTGCAATAGTTAGTCCTGTTCCTTGTCAGACATAGCATCGTAGTTCTAACGCAATCGTCACCTTTTAGTAATTAGCGTTTTCACATTTGGCGCAAATGAATAAACAGGTTAATGACGGACTTGCTTTTCCTCTCCTATTGTATAATGAGATTAAAATATATCATTGTTAAATAAACACTTACCTTCCAATTGCTAGCCCACGGACTATCCATTAGCTGTGACATGTTCCAAATAACGTTTTGATGACGAGCCGTGCGCTATAGCACCGTATCTAGTTGTCTTAACGTCGTCATTTTGGCCATGCGACGGTGTTAATCGCATTGATAACGCATATTTCGATAACGCTTATTCGAGCGGAGACTAGTTTCAGTCAATCAGACAACATTTGTGCTGATCCTCCTTGCATTGGCAAATAGATGCCGTCACTGTAATCCGGGTCTGCAGGCATGCTATAACGCTCATCTCGTTCCTGTATCCCCGCTAGTTTGTGTTTAGGACCTTGCGTAGAGGCATCGTTATTCATAAGTTCCGAAGGTGTTCGTTTTACTTACTCGCACTATTTTGTCCTGACCACTTCCCTAGTAGTACGTGCAGACCAAGTGGACAAAATCCGGCATATATATCCGGATTTTTCGAGTAGGATTCCATGATGGAATTCGCTTGGATTTGTTACTGGGTCCCTCTAGCAAGAGGTCCATATAAAGAAACATACTTTACTCGTAATCCTTGCGCATCTTCGGCTGGTAAGTGGTGTTAAATTGAGGCCCTTGTCATGGCCAATACAAAATCAGCGTGGGAACGTTTTGACGTTTGGCACTCCGGTGCGAGCAGTATCAGCAGGCAGGTTAACCTGAACAACCATTACGAGTGTCTACGCCCACGGCTTACTACACCCTACCCTTATGGAAATATCGATGACCTCCATTCCACCCGTTCGGAGTCTCCTTGATCCACGTCCCCCCTAGTAGCAAATCCAATCTGATTCCATCGTGGAATCCTACTGGAAAATCGGAATCTACGTGCCGGACTTATACCGGATTTTGTCCACTTGATCTGCACGTGCTACTAG